GAATTTTATAGGGATGAAGTTGGACTCGACCACAGCAAGAGCATATTTACATCTTGAGTGGTGTCAGGTCGCTATCAGATCCAGGATGTCAATCAGAACTTGCCTTTCCCTCATCAGTTGCATGGCCTCCTCATGCACACATACAACGCTGTTCGCCAGGCTGTGTCTTCATTGCCTACAAGCTTGGCTTCTCTCTGTGTGCTCACCAGAAAAGGGCAACATAAATGGCAAGGTGACAGTTCTCACCAAAGCTTTATACTTTCTCATCTGGTGGACCAAACTGGAGAAGTTCTTTCTTCACACTGACTCACAAGGCAACCATCATTACTGAAACCTTGCTCTTGGGAACACTGGACAGTCTGTTAAGCCTGCAGTGCCTTCCAGACGTGTCCAAATAATGTTGGACAACATGAAGATTTTTTTTTGGTTATATAAATAAGCAGGGGAGGGAGTGAGATCTCTCCTTCTGTGCATAGAGGCAGTCACCTTCTGGAATTAGGGCAATGCAAAGGCTGATGCACCATCAGCAGCATATTTACCATGGGTATAAAACACTGAGCAGACACTTTTTCACAGACCATGAATGGAAGATTCTGGTGTCATGGAAAGGTCGCCTGGGGTATGCCTTCCCTCCCGTTCCATTGATACTACAGTTTCTACGGAAAATCTGCCAAGACGGATTTTAAGTCATCCTGATTGTGCCCAACTGGCTGAGACAGTTCTGGTTTGCGGATCTACTGAAGCTCTCATTTTAACCATTTGTGAACATCCCTGCATTGCTGGAACTTCTAACGTAGCACAGGAGCACCTTCAAGTTCCCCAATCTGAGACTTCTGCAACTCAGAACCTGGTATTTGGATGGGCATCGGAAATAGAGCACTCATGTTCCAAAAGGGTGCAGTCCATCTTAAGCAAAGCAGAAAGACTTTACGAGAAGCTGTTACTCATCAAAGTGGAAGCATTTTTCTTTTGGGGCTCCCCAGAGCAACTTGTCTCCAGAATTCACTGGAATCTCTGCTATCTTCGGGTATCTGCTTTTACCCTTGTGGGTAAAGAGAGAGATGGTTACATTCTCTGGATGTCTGAAGGACTTTGGCCTTTTATCTGCAAAAACAAAGGATGTTAGAAAGACATCTAAACTATTTGTTTCCGTAAAAAATGAATACAAATATTAAAATATATGGAGATTTACCTATCTCATAGAACTGGAAGGGACCCCGAAAGGTCATTGAGTCTAGCCCCCTGCCTTCACTAGCAGGACCAAGTACTGATTTTTGCCCCAGATCCCTAAGTGGCCCCCTCAAGGATTGAGCTCACAACCCTGGGTTTAGCAGGCCAATGCTCAAACCACAGAGCTATCCCTCCCCCGCAGGGGATAATAGTAGAGTGATCAGTGGGTCAGCTGTATTAACAAAGAGCTCTTTGCTTATCTTCATAAGACTTTCACAAGACATTACGCTCTGGTCCAGTTGTGAGCTCTGAATACAGCTGTGAGGACAGTAGTATTAGTCTGCTATTACTTCTGCATCATTGCACCCATCCCCTCTTTGACCACTTCTTGTTAATCTCTCACATATGGACTACATGCAAGGACCATCACTCAAAGAAGAGATGGAGGCTACTTACCAGTAACAAAAATGAGAAGTCCGTGGCACCTTAAAGACTAACAGATTTATTTGGGCGTAAGCTTTCATGGGTAAAAACCCCCTTTTCTTCAGATGCAGACTAACACGGCTACCTCTCTGATACTTGTTACCAGTAACAGGAGGTTTTTTGAGATGTGTGGTCCCTATCTGTATTCCACCTTCTGTCCCCTCTGCTACAGATTCTTTCAACTGCAGGAAGAATGGGAAACGGGAAAGGGGTTGGCCTGCACCACCTTTTAGGAGGAGAGCTCATGAAGGCCAGTGGATGCTGCTTGCAAAAAATCCTAGACTCAGGAACATGGTGTGCATGCATATCCCATGTGTGAATACAGATAGGGACCATTAATCTCAAAGACCCTCCAGTTACAGGTAAGTACCCTTTTTTCTGGGAAGTCCTTCTGTTTATGGGTTTTGAACTTCATCTTTCTCCCCTCCCAACATTTTATCAGTTTGTGAAAGAAACAGTTTAGTTCCATCTTAGTAGAAAAGTAGTGGAATGAAAATATGAGAGCACTTTTTCATATATGCCCTGATTCAGCAGAGCCCTTAAAGGTGTGCTTAAGTTTCATTGAGTTGAATTTTGAAGTCAAAAGGACTTAAGCACATGGTTTGCTGAGGACGTCCGTAGATCTTAAGACTATATTTATAGAATTATCATCTATTGATATGTTTTGACAATTATGTATTTTTCTTATGTTACTAAATCCTAGATTTGATAAATACCTATTTTCACACTCTGTTTTGAAACCAAGGCACTAGAAGCCATGTTATAATAATACTTGCATTACTACAGCTATTGTTCCTGGCAGAAAGGAGTCATTTGTGCCAAAAGATTACTTTTGCCTTTGTCAGTGCCAGCCGTGACTTTTTGTTCAGTTCCTGGATCAATTACAATAAAACTACTACAGGGCTGTCAGCTGCAAAATGCGGCAAACTCACAGAAATGGCTAGCTCTGTAAAGTGTTTTTGCATTTCTAAAGAGCACTTTCTCACCCTGTAGGTCTTTCTTGCGCTACACCATGGGGATCCAACACTTTTTAGCTGATGGCACTGTAATATAATTAACCATTCAGTATAAAATGTTTTCTGCATGCTGTCTTTTAAGGAGCTATAGTTAAAATATTGTTGCAGCAATACATTCTTTAGGGAAACAGTGATTAGAGCACTGTATCACCCCTAGTTCCCTACAGTTCAAGTTATGTATTCTGTGCCTCCTTCCTTAGTGTCTCATGCTTTTATTTTGCAGTTAGGCCAGTTTGTGGACTGTAATATATATGGATGTTTGTTCTCTAGTTGTAATGTTTGTAATGGTTCATCGTTATGGAGCTCAATGCACTGGGTAGCAGTATGTGTGAAGTAACCATGCACTTGGTGCTATATGTAGTGAGGTTTTGCAGTGCTGTAATTAAAAACTATATGCTGTACATCAAATCTTACCTGAGAGGTCTGATTGGGAGGAAGGAGGAAAGGAATATCACTGCTATTTTTGAAGCTTAGGGTGTGTCTACATTATGCGCTGGATTGACTGGCAGCGATCAATCCAGCGGGGGTCAATTTATCGCATCTAGTCTAGATGTGATAAATCGACTGCCGAGCACTCTCCTGTCGACTCCGGTACTCCACCGGAGCGAGAAGCGTAGGGGGAGTCGACGCGGGAGCGTCAGCCGTCGACTTACCACAGTGAAGCACCGCGGTAAGTAGATCTAAGTACATCGACTTCAGCTACGTTATTCACATAGCTGAAGTTGCATAACTTAGATCGATTCTCCTCCCAACCCCCTATCCCCGCAGTGTAGACCAAGCCTTAGATGGCGAGAGGCATGCAATATAGAATAGAAATTGCTAGTCTTCTGTGCAATTCTATCTGTACAGGTAAATGCACAGAATTAACTGTTGGGATAATAATTTCATGCAGCAGTTTATCAGCTGGCTTTAGAGGTACATACTGGTGCTCCAATAGTGAAATGTATCAGTTTTGCATGATCAGATTGTTGAAGCAGTTCATATTTCAAATGGAAGAAACAAATTTTCCTAAAATCCATTTGTCTTTCTCTGGCAGGGGGAATCATATGTTGGGAAATGTTTGTTTGTAATCTTGCAGTTTGTTTTATTATTAGCTGTTAAGAGTGGGTTTTTTTTTTTTAAATTCAATGGTTAAGTGTGTATGAGGAGTAATTCTAATATGAATACACTTGTTCACAAAGTAATAGTGGTTAAATATTTAACTTTCCAGCTAAAACTATAGTAGGTTAAATCTCCCCATCTCCTCCTCCCCTTCCTTATTTTTTGTTAATTCAATGTGGTAACTTGGATTTGCATTCCAGACTCCAAAGGAGCTGTTACAGAACTGGAAGAGTTGGCATATTCGGGTTTTTTCTATATTTAACACTTAACATTTAAAAAAAAACGTTGCTAATTTTTCTATGTTAAAATAATAGTCTCACTTATGGTGAAAGAGCCTGAGTTAAGGTAGAAATTTTTGCCATCTCTGCAATACACAAACAAAGTATGAGAACAAAGAGCAGGTAACCTTAAAAATCATACAGTAATCAAACAGTTAAGAATGTTGTTTGTATGTTTAAGTGAATCTGTCCATTTAGCCATTTTTTCCCTCAGGAAGTTCCTCCATATTCCAATTGGAGTTTTAAGGACCCTTTCACAAGTTGATCTTAGCCTACTTTAATTGTACCCATTGGAGCTGGACATTGGTGCTCCTTAACTGAACATAAATGTCAGTACTGAGGGATATGAATACCTCTGCTGAGCATTCTCTCCATATAGCATTGTCAGTTACTGCTATTTAGGTAACAAGAGACCAGAGCTGTAAATAATACTTGACACTTCACTAAATCAGATCACTCAGGAAATCTTTAGCTAACTAACCTCTCAACACCTTTGTGTGGTAGGTATTATCCCTATTTTACAAATTGGGAAAAATCGAGGCAAATGTATTGTCACTTGTTGAAAGCCACATAGTAATTAAGTGGTGCCGCCAGGGTCAGGATCCAAGAGTCTCTTGTTCTTTTGTCATGCTTAGTACACCAGACTGTGCTGCCTTTCTGTGTTGAACCTGGATCACTTGTACTAAGCCCCACAAATGGCCATCTAGTACTTTACACTCACTTTTCACCAGCTACAGTAGTTTGAATCTGGGTTTTCTTTTGCAGCTTACCTTATTAATCAGACAGCAAGGCAATAGTTTGTTGTTTGCTAGTTTAATACAGTTATGTTTCTAGAAATACTATTTTAGGCTACATGTAGAAGAATGATACAAGCTATTGCACAAGAGAATATTACACTACCTTTCCATCTTAGCATTTTATGATACACATGAATTTTTCTTTTTGTTGTTAGGTATGGATGAACGAACAGGAGCTACATCTTGGGGAACAAGTGGTCAACCAAGTCCCTCATACGAGCCTTCAAGGGTAAGGTTTCCAGTCGACTCTAAGGAGGTTTGGGAATGGTCAACAAAAGGTGGCATTATTGAGCAAGAACGTCTGATGTGGCAGTATTTGCGAGGGATATATCCCTTCAAACATTTATATTAGTGTCTTGTGGTGATATGTTCTGGTGACTTCACACATAACACTAATAGTATTAGTTGGTACTTGTATAGTGCTCTACAGTACAGAAATAAATAATGTGTTTCATTTTCAAAGTATTTTGTAGGCCTGGTGTACGCCAAAGAGTTAGGTTGATGTAAGGCGGCTTATGTCGACCTAACTATGGCAGTGTACACGCTACAGCCTTGCTCCTGCCGATGTAAGTCCCCTACTACACCGACATCATAATCCCACCTCCAAGAGAGGAATGGGGCTTTTGTCGGTGTAGTTAGGGCGATGCAGTGTCCATGTAGAGTAGACACTGCAGGTTACTTATATTGGCAGTTGACTGTTATTCTTGTAAATTTTACAGCTCCATGATGGAGCCTTAAAATTGACAAGAAAGCTGCTCATGGTTTGGGCTGTTACCCTGGGATGGGTGGGGGGTTCCAGCTAGAGCCTGTCTTCCCCCTGGGCTGCTGACTCCTTGCTCGGAGCCAGGCTTCCCCTGGGAACCTGGCTCCCTGCTCCCAGCTGGGCTGCTGCCTGTGGTCCCCGTTCCCAGTCGGGTTGCTGCCTGGGCTCCCCCCTTCAAGTTGGGCTGCGCCTGCCCAGCTCCCCACTCCCCACCAGGAGCACCAGTGCTGTCTGGTCTCCTGGCTCCCCGCTAGAGTGGAGTCCTCAACTGTCCAGACACTCTTCCTTAGTCCCTTTACATTTAAACCAGAGGAGAGGGATAGGCTCTGAGATTACCAATATGTTTCAGCGTGTAAAGTTAAAAACAGCATCCCAGATTTCACCTGGAATGGAACTAGGTGCAGTTCCTGGAGCACAGATGTAACGTGTTCTGTACGAGAGAAACTGATTTGCAAGTGAAGAACAGCTGAAGTTTCTGGGTGATTTTAAGATATAGGCCAGAGTTACAGATGGAATTGGTGCTGGAGGCAGGATTAGAACTCAGGAGTTGTAGCTTCCAGTCATGTGCTCAGGGTACGAGACCAGGTATGTCTCAAGTAAAGAAATGATACCTTAAAAATAAAACAGAGAGACTTGTAGCATTCCTTTTGCAAATTTCAGGCAGAAAAAAACTGCTCTCAGATTTAGACTTATACAGCGAGGGAAAACAACTGACTTGCCTTCACAAAGGATATATCTATCCTACAAAAGTTATGTCGATGTACAGCCACTGCAGTAACTAAATTGCTTCTGCACACTATGCTCCTGATGTCGGCGCTGCGCATCCTTAGTAGGAGCGCTTGCATTGATTGAACTGTCAGTGTGGGGCATTGTGGGATGGCTTCTGAAAGCCAGCAACACTCTATGTAAGCAGCGCAGTGTCTACAACTGACGCTGCGTCAACATAACTACGTTGATATATGCGCTACGCCCCTCATGGAGGTGGAGTTATTAACTCGAGGTAAAGGATGAGTTACATCAGCGGGAGCAACATTTTCGTGTAGATGCTTACAGAGTTAGGTTGATGTAAACTGCCTTGCAGTGACCTAGTTCTGTAGTGTAGACCTGGGCAAAGTCTGAGGTAGTTTTACACAGGACTTAACATGATAAATTTCCACCTCATTTCTGCAATGTGGAAATTGTACAACGTGTTGGAAGTGTTTGTATGGCAGTATTTAAATAGTTTGTAACTTTAAGGCATGAAGTCCAGCCCTTTGTTTAGTTGACCTTACAGTCGTTTCTGCATTTGAAATGGCATTACATGTGTAGTCCTGTGTTGATATTTTTGTTCTAAATGTCTTGAACACATTGATAATTATGGATGAGAAACTTGTATATGGATATTAATCATTGAAAAGCTGAATTACCCCACTCGGATTTGAGCTTATGCTTCTTAAGTTCTGTATCCTACATTGATCGCCTGTGTGTGCATTTGTAGGGTCACATTTATATGAATTCTTGTTATTCCAATAATATGAAGTTGGAAATTTGTTTTTAGAGGTTAGAGATAAAGCAGATAATTAAAAAATTAAAACCATTATACCTTGGCAAAACTGCGGGTGCACATGAGTTACACACCCAAATTGGAAAGTAGAGACATTGATGATGTCATGGTATGCTTGAAGCTAGCAGGAGGACAAAAGATTAATTCTTTTGTTGCTCTTAAGGCTATGAAAGAACCATGAATGTAAGCCTGGCTTGAATGTATGGAAAATCTTAAGAAAAATGGGGGTGGAGGGTCAGAGGCTAAATATTGGTAAACAAATTGCCAATCAACAGTAACCTTTGATTTAGAATAGTAGGATAATACCTCCTGCTCCCTCCAATAACTTATGTCAAATTCTGCACTCTTACTCACGTTAAATAGTGCTTTACCATGGGAGGGTTCTCGCTGAAATAATTTAGCCTATTCAAAGATAATATTGAGCCTGGGTAAAGGTGGCAGAATTTGGTCTAAATCCTTATTTTACTATTCCTCTCATACTGGTAAATACTTCATATTGTCATATGCCAATAATTTATGATATGTCATTGTGGATTTGTTAAGTAGCACCATGAACATCTTGGAAAAAGAAAAATCTGGGTTGCGCATGTGCTCATGCAAATCTTGGGTGAATTTTGGGTGAATAAACTAGAATTGCATGTACCAGTTGTTTCTAAGTGTGTTCATACTTTAAGGTCAATATGGTGTAAATTATATTCACTCAAAACTTATTAAATACGATGCTTCGATCAAAACAGGTTTTAAATTGTAGAGAGCTCTGACATGCATGGTAATTTCAGTAATTTATTTTAGCATAATTTGTGAACATAAATGCTTACATATTCAGTCTTGTAGGACAGGCTTGTGTGGTTTAATTAGGCTTGGAAGGATTGGATTTTTATCTGTAAACGTTGATAAACATTGATTTCACTGTATACATACAAACTAATGAAAAATATTTCCATTGATGATGATCAAAATTTATAGATAGGCAAAGTAAGAAAAGTCTGCTTTGAGGACTTATTAAAGTCAAAATCCAGTGATTTAAACTTTTCAATTAGGCTTGTTACAAATGGACTGGTAGAAACTGGTATGATTTGTTGATCTAAGGATTTTTACTTTGTATAGTTTGACATGTGATGTTGACCATTTGAGATTAAATCGTTTATAAAGTTTAACTTTTTGAATCTCGACATCTACTGTCATTAAGTAATTGTATGACCCCTAAGCCCCATAATTTCACACCACTGTGAAAATTTAAGTAGATACAAATCCAAAAAAAGTTTTAAAAATTGGTATCTGTCAAAAATATACAAAAATGAAAATCAAATTCTGCCAAGCCCACAGAGGCAGAGCAAATGTTGTGCACATCAGATGTCTACCTTGGTTTATGCTGCTAATTAGGTGCCCAAATTAGAAAGTTCAAAAGGTATAGTGAATGCAGTTTGGTCCATTATGTCCATTATTTCATTGTATGTAAGAAAATATTTAAGAGGGAAAAGTTTTCTGTACATCTTTGTGTGAAATGTTAAATGAGGTGTCGCTGGTCATGTTGTCTGCTAAATATATCTATCTACTTTGTAAATAAAGTCTTAATTTATATTAAAGGAAAACTCTGTTGTTGTTTTCTCAAAAAATCAATAACTTTTAGAAACTGTCTATTTAATAGTGCTATAATGGCTAATAAATATAAATGTAGAACTTATTCCATGGTGGCCATATGTTTCTGCAAAAAATAGGACAGGGAGAAACTCCATTCTGCATTGAAATCAATGGGAAAGCAGGGACTTAACAGAGCGAGTTTAAAGAATATATATATTTATTTATAAATTTGTGTCTGTATCTTGTGTATATGGTTGGTGGTGGGTGGTTATTGTTTTTTTGCTTTTGTTTGTATTTAAAGTTTTGTTTCAGCTTGTGAGTCTCTGTTTTGCTATTGGTTGATGTCCAAGAATTGCACATGAGGATAACATGACTTCCTCTCCATACCCTAACAAGATCAGAGGACAACTCGGCCTCCAGGATGTGAGGAAAACTTGATCCGAGTGCGCTGATCTAGGTTATGGGAATGAAAATCAAACTGTTTTTTAGGGAGCAGGCATAAAGGTAGAGGTTATTTGCTTTTCTCAGAGGTTCCTAGATCTTGTCTGGTGATAAGCTAAAGAAATAATACACATTTAAAAGAAAACAGAACTAAACTCCCCTGTCTCTATTTTAATATATTGAAAGTTGCCTAACATAAGACTTCAGAGTCCAGTGTTCTTCCCATTGATTTCAATACAGAATGTTCAGTCTTGTCCTAATTGTTCTTACTACTTGCCTGTTTACAGGAAAATGGCAGTCTCCATGGAAAAAGCTCAGACATCTCCACAGCCATAGAAAAGTTGAAACCTCAAGAGGTACTGCTTAATTTGTTTCTAATTTGAGTGTGTGATTTATCTACTTGTAGCCTAATGCGGGAGTTCTCCTTTAAAAGATGGACTACATTGACTTAAATGTTTGACTCTAAATCAGTGACAGAATATGGCTGGGATTTTCAAAAGTGCCTAGAGAATTTAGGAACCCAACTCCCATTGAAAATGAAATGAAATTCAGTGGGAGTCAGGCACTTAACTCCCTTAGGCCCCTTAGAAAATCCCAGCCTACATATTTAGCTGTAAACCTTAACAAATAAGCTTGAAAACGTATGTTTGACAGTCACTTCATTACACGTATTTCACGTCCCATCACTTAGCTTACATTTGTGAGGCTTTCTGGGAATGTTGACTACCATCCTAGCAAAGCAAATTAGGGAGCACTTTTCTACATGGCTTTCTGTACAGTATTACTTTGATAATCTCAGATCTGGATGTAGAAAGAGGCACAAATCAAGATGGGCAACTTTTGTGTACAAACTACACTGTGTATGATTGTCAGTCCTGTCATAGATGTAAATTTCTCATTTAAAAAGGGGTGCTTAAAATGACAATGTGTTGGACCTGTGAATGTTTATATGAAATCCTGTACCTTGACACCCATAAATCTGACACAATGAACTGTGGCCACCAGTTTAGATTGCTCCTTATCTGAAGACGATGATAAACTGGGTTTTTCATTGTAAATACTTATGGGAAGAATCATCAGAAAGGTTGATTTGGGCATGAAGACTTTCTCTTTTACAAGAATGGATCAGAAATGGGAATTAGTGGGTCCAGTGGAACTCTGCAAAATCTTGAAACCTGCCCTTTCAGCTGATTAGACTGAAGTCATATTTACTATGCTGTGTCCACCTTTCTTCCTGTTGTGATTACGTGCTTTCCTGTGAATCCTAGGTCATATGAAAAGGGACAAGTATAGCGATGTTTGGACATTGGATAGGTGCCCCAATGCTGATTAGCATACATATGGTCCTCCCTTAAAGAGTAACATACAGTTAACGATGTTTTTTTGTTTTTGTTTTTTTGTCCACTTGGATTCATGACCCTTTGCATTAGCACTGTAGCAGCCTCATGGACATCTGTTATAGAAAGATGTAAAGATGCTCTTTGAAAGTCTTGCTAAAAACCCTTAGACACTAATTCTGCTGTACTTAACTGACAGATATGTCAACTGAATCCAGTGAGATTTTGGCCCATAGCTCTCAGGAGTTTTTCTTCCAGTAATGATATGCCTCCCAACCTCCAACATTTCCACTTTCTTTGTGAATTGTCCATTGTAGAAGAAAACTCATAACTTGGGAACAAATTGGTATAATCTCTTTGTCTTGGATAAACATTCTTTTAATTAAAGGTTATTCTACTTCTACTATAGTCTTTACTGCACTTTGGATAATGGTGGCTTTAATTTTTGTGAATTAAACACCTGTGTGTTTGAGGCTTTATTTTCTTTGTTTTGGTTTTGTTCTAACAATGCCCTTTTAATAAAAGGAGCGACTTAGTTCTGCATCTGTTCAGATGTCTCTCTCCAAAGGAAGAAAATTTAAAAATGCTAAAATCAGCCATTTCTTCCCCTAGTAGGCTTCCTTAGGATTTAACAGCCAAAAACCTAGGCCATAATTTAACTATTGTATTTTCTTCCTGGCATCTAAGTTGCAAGTGTTTGTGTGCAGTTCTGGCGTATGTAATAAAATAAATATTGGATCTGCCTTCCTTTGCATCTAGGAACAATTGTTTCCATGTACATATATACATTCACCGTAGCTGTCTCTTCTAAATACACAGTCATGTAAAAGTACCTGAAACCAGAGTTGGACTGATACATTAGATTTAGACAGTACTCTAGCATCAACAGATTGTACAGCTTAACTATCCTTAAGTCTAAAATAGCTGAACATATATTTTAGAGGCCAAATGGGATATAGTTTGGGTCCATCCAACTTCACTTTTTACACCAATAGTAGATTTTAATTTGGTAAGAAATCAAAAACCGTATCAAGAAAAAACAGCAAGTTTTGAAATAGTGTTTTATACCTCTTAACCTCAGGTACAAAACGAGAGAGGAAGCTGTTAAATAGCAAAGCAAGACAAGAGGGGCACAGAAATCCAGTAAGTGTTATCAAGTCTATTGTGTTTGTGTCCTTTTTGTCCTTTGTTTCTTGCTGTTTATATGCTTCCTCTAGTTTATAATTCTGTACCTGAGATGATGATCTGGTGTGAAATTCTGTTTTAAAAAACAAACAAAACTTCCTGCACTAAAGGGTCAGGAGGCTTTTCCAAATATAACATTACATGTGTTTATGTGACTAATTTGATATATGCCCAACATTTTCTAAAAAATGAGTGCCAAAATTTAGGCTCCAAACACCATATGTAGGTATCTATGGTAGGGCATTCCTTTTTAAAATATCTTGGATAAACTAGAATATTAATAAATGTATCTCGTAGTTTTTTTTCAACGTTTTCCAAGCTTCGTTTAAAGGCTATAGTAGTTAATTATTCAATTCAATTTGTAGGTTGCATAGGGATATAATTTCCTAGAGTGTTGAGAGAAGCATTGAAATCTGTTTCCAACAATAAAACATAGTTCTTTGTGCATGATACTTGGGAAAAAGCCAAATAAACAAACATTGTCCTATTTAATATAGTAGAGTGATGCTCATTTTAGGAAATTTTAATGTACAATTGTGTATTTGGGATAACTAGATTCAGTGGTTCACTAATTAAATCCATACAACTTCAGTGTAATTCTTGACTTAGAAACCAGGGGAATCTGTGACCATTCCAAAATTGAGTACTACTTCAATTAATAATTGTCTGAATTCATTCTCCAAAGCTCTTAAACATAGAGGCTGCATAGGTTTCTAGTCCTGTGTTTCCTCCCTGAGAAGCCGCTTACCTGTTTCAACATAGTATCTAGTAACATCAACCAAACATTTTAAGTTAGTGTTCTTTTACTTTTGGAGGATGTATATAGAAACTTTCTTGGCTTTACCCATCATTCCCTGAAATCTAGGGGGGTGATAATACTTAACTTTCAAACCAGCATCCTGTACAATGTTGGCTAATTAATACTCATACCAATGTGAAGGAGGGTAAATATTCTTATTTTGGGAGACTGAGCAATTGAAAGGTGGTGACTTGCCCATCCCTATCAGGATTAGAGCTTGGCGGTACCTAGCTCCTTGTCTCTTGCCCTAGCCTTTAAGTAACTTCTGTTGTGTATGTGACTTATTAAGCTGAAAGAAACTAAGAATTGGACAGCTCAAAAGTCCAGTAAAACAAGAGAGATGGGTTAGAATTCCTGTGTCTCACTCCTCAATATGCTGGCAGCTGCAGAGTTCGCATGCCTCCGATAGGGAGAGAAGAAGATATTTTCTTCCTGTCACTCCAATGCAGCTCTTGATGTCTGAGTTGAACTCAGTCCAGCCTTGCTGCTTAGAGTTGTAGCGGTAGTAGACAAATGTAAATCGTATGGAGAAAGTGGACCAAAGGCCAAGTTTGTCTTCTGCTATGTGGGTGCAGTTCAGTTACCTATCATGATTTCAAACTGCATAGCAGGTTTGTGGAGCAAGTGGTATTATACCAAGGAAAGACAGAATACCAAATAATAGAGCCAGACAATAGTGATACTGGATTGAAAAGGCTGGGTGTTGACAAGGTGAACAAAAACTGGGTGAAAAGTAGGGTTTTTCAGTTGTCTTTGGTTATAAGGGAGAAGTTTATACAATGTTTATTTATGAAGTAGTACAGTCATTCTCAACCTTATGTGTACCAAAATCCTATGCAACATCAGGAAAAAAGTTTCCTGTCTTCTCCACTTCTAACTAGCCATAAAAAATGGTAGTGTTCACAATCTCTAGGCTGAGAACCATGTGTGACTAATTCTATACTGAATTGTAAACAATTAATCTTGCTGTCTTCTGGTGGAATTACTTTAAATACTGTGTGTAGCTTTTAGATTGTAAGTGTCATGCACAATTTGAATCATTGTCTTTAAACCTGACTATCTGGATTCTTAATCTGCAGCCATTTATAATGGTGATAACCATTCTCTAATATTTACTTGAGGTTGTTGTGTCAACTGTGGATTTGTAAGGTGTGAGCTATGCTGGACCAATATGTCTTGCTCCTCTCTTTCACTGTAATGACTATCTTAAATCTGATTTTTTGTCATCTTGTTGAAACATGTCAGCATTGTTTTCAAATGGACACTGATTATAACACTGTCATCCCCATGTCCATCCATTTCCAGTTTGGTTGGTTTTTGCACTTGAGAAAGTGAGTGTTCTGTTACCCATATTAAATATTTACTAACCATTACTGTGAGACTCTTCGAATGTTTCACATTCCCTTAAAATTCATAACCTGAGGTGTTAGTGTTGGTTCTTTGGTGCAGTATGAGATCACTGGGTTTTTTCCACCTTGGGCAATTGGAGCTGAGGCATATCATCAATATAGTGCGGTTGATCTCCAGGGCAAAGAGGAAGGTGACATACTTACAGCAGAAGCCTCTCTTTTTCTTGTTGTTTTTAATAATAAACAGCATTAGTGTCAGTCATGGAGGAAACTGCTCGAGGATGGGAATTGTGCTTTGTAGCTTGAACTGGTCTTTAATGTTTGTTAATTGTGAATGAAAATTTAGACCCATTACAATAGTATTGTTAGAATGAAAATATACACAAAGCAGAGTGGATAAAAATCAGTGATTGTTTTTAAAAAATAAAAACAATCTGACTTTTTTTCATTTAAATCGGATTTTTTTGATAAAATGCTTTTTGAGGAAAAAACCTAGCTAAAGATAGTTTTAATTAAGATACAGGGGTTTCTGTATAGATTATTTAGGTTAATCTTTCTATCTACCCAATGTGACTCAGTGCTATGTTTAGAAGATACCATCAGAGATCCTTAGTTTTGTAGTTCTCAAACTGTGGATTTGTGTCTCCAGAGATAACATGCTTGTTAACAGCAAAAAAAAGTTTTTA